CATCCGCCCCACCCGCCCCACGGCGCAAATGCAGCAGCGGGCGCCCATGCATGCAGCCGCCGGCGCACCTGTTCATGCCGAAGTGCCTCAAGCGCCCCGTCCCGGCCCCGCGCCGCGGCCCGCGCGCCGTCCGCCAGCGCGGCAAGCGCCGCCACCACGCCCTCCACCACGCGCAGCTGCGCCGACGCGCCGCCGCCCGCGCCGCCGCCGGCGGCCGCCGCGTCGTCCTCCGCGCTGAGCCCGAGCGAGTCCTGTGCCGCAGCCGCCGCCGCCCGCTGGGCTTCCACTGCGCTCGATTCGCCCCCGCAGATCTCCATCACCAGCTCCCACGCCGCCCGCCGCGCCCCCGCCAGCCGCGCGAGCGCGGCCGCGCGCTCCGCGCTCGCCGCGCCCAGCGCCTCGCCGCGTGCGGCGCGCTCCTGCGCCGCGTCCGCCTCGGCGGCGCCGAGCCTGGCGAGCAGCAGCGCCCGCTCGTCTTCTGCAGATTCCCGTGCGGCAGAGAGGTCCCCGGCGGCCGCCTGCAGCTGCTGGTATGCCGCACGCATGTCGGCCGCGTCGCGCGCGGCGCCGCGCGCAGCGGCGTCGGATGCGTCCTGCTGCGCTGCCAGGCGGGCATGCAGGTCGCGCAGCTGTGGCGAAGGAGGTGCGGGGCAACATATTTGCGTTTGCGGCTGAGTGGGGGCGTTGGGGTACAGTATCTCGTGATGACGTCAGCGGAGGTTGTGCTGGGCCTAGAATGCAGCCACCAATGTCGTGATAAGCCTGGTCAAAGGCGTTGACTGGAATTGACCATCCCACGTTGGCGGGCAGGGAGCCGTGATGGCATTGGCATTCCATCGCCGCTCAACAAACCATCAAACGAATCGCCCCGGCACCCCCGCCTCCGCCGCCCCTCTGTCTGCCACCACGCCACCGCCCCCCTCCCAAACACACACACACACACACAGACTGCCTGCGCACCCCGACACCCCGCACCTCAACCCCACGCGCCTCCAGCGCCGCCCGCGCCGCCCCAAGCTCGCCCTCGACCGCCGCCCCTTGCTCTACGCGCGCCCGCAGCTCCCCAGCATGCGCCCCAAGTTCGGTCACCACCTGCGCCGGCGCGTGTGCGTCGGGGGGCCCACCACATCAGGTCAGCGGCGGGCGCCGGGCATGTACAGTTGCGCCTCAGCAAGCCCCGCAAGGCGCGGCTTGTGTTCAACACAGTCAACACTGACGGCATGATCATATAGGTGACAAAAGATAAGTGTAAACGCTCGTCGTTGCCGGCCCACCTGCTTGAGCCCCGCTATCGTTGCCTGCTGCTGCTCCACCACTTCCCGCTGCTGCCGTCGCTGCTCCCTCTGCCGCTCCTCGCGTCGCCCGCACTCGCTGCAGCCGCAGCCGCAGCCGCTGCACGCGGCGCCGGCGCCGGCGTCCCCGAACAAGCAGTGGCAGGAGGTCTGGGTTGAGGCGGGCGCCTTGCCGCGTGCCCTGCGCGGCGATGGGGACCGCACCACGATAACAGACGCCGCCGCGGTGGTGATGGGCCCACTGCTTTCCTCAGAGTCCCCATTTGAGGACGGGTTGGCCGCAGCCTCTCCGCCCCTGTCCCTGCGGCTGCCCCGGCAGGCGCCCACAGCGGCGGCCTGCCCGCTGATGGTGGCACGGGCCGGGGATTTGTGCCCGGGCCGGCGCGCGGGCGGCGCGGGGGCGGCCCATGAGGGCGGCAGGCGCTGCATCAGCTGCACGTGGCTGGAGAGCAGCTCATCGATCCGGCCCTGCAGCCTGCACATTGATGCATGGTTGCACGCATGCGCTCAGTCAAGGGGCACGCATATCCCCGCGCATGTCCGCGTCCAGACACCGAATGTTGTGTGCATGTATGCCAATGCGCATGGACACGCAGCGACACATGCAGCAGCTCATGCGCCGCATGCGGGCATGGCTGCACTGCGCGCATGCATGCATGCGCTGCTGCTCTTGCATACGCTCCATCGCCCCGGCATGCGTCTGCCCGTTGCAGGCCATCCTTGCATGTCGTCTCGCATACTGCCATGCCTCAAAGCCGCGCCAAAGCCCGCTAAAAATAGCCCAGCAACTTGCCTGTGCTTGTCCCTCATGAGCTGCGACACGACCGCCCCCAGCTGCTGGTCTTTCAAACGAGCTGTCGCAGAAGTCAACAAAGCGCCAGCTCGCGCATGAGTGCTTGCCGCAGCGCCGTCCTCCAAATCAGAGTCGGCAGCCGCCGCTACATGGCCGCTGCCGGCGCGAGTGCAAGCCGATGCGCACATGCAGGCACAGTCTGCTGCTGGCTCGCGCCGCCGCGAGCGGCAGGGGCATCGCCGCTGTTGCTGCTTCTCCAGGCGCTGCGGGGACTGGTGCTCTTCATCATCATACTGGTCTGATCCGCTCAGCCCAGACAGCTCCCTGCAAGGCGCTGCACTACATCGCGTCCCCCAGGCATCCTCCACCCCTGCCCGCGCCGCTGCCGGTCGCGCGGCAGCCGCTGCCGCACGACCGGCAGCGGCTGCCGTCGCGGAGCCGCGACGGCACCCCAGATGCGCTCCACCGCGCGCCGCGCCGAGCTGGTGCCGCAGGCTATCGTTGATGTCGTAAAGGGCCTGTACATTATGCCTGCAGTCAGTGAGCTGCTCCTCCAGGAAATCGCCGAGCGGCGCAGCGCGGCAACGCCGGGAGGGCGCCGAGCCCAGCGGCAGGTGTGCGCGCGTCTGCGAGCCGCTGCGTGTCAACCCGGCAGCGCGCTCGCGCCGTCGCCGAGTTCTGTCACGTATTTTGAGCTCTTCGTCATCGAGCTCGTTCATAAGCTGCTCCACTTCGCTGCAGATCGTGTGCAGCAGAATCGGGGCAGCTACATACCGCGACATTTGGGTCTTGGAGCGTGGAAAACATCTTATTTCTTACTGGTTGTGTCAATCACGCAACACCATCGTGCACCACGATCGGCACCTTTGACCTCGCCACCTCGGATTGACCAGCGCGGCTCGAGCTGCACTGCTCCAGTGCTAGCTGTGTGCCATGCAACACGGGCATTTCCACGCCTTGGGGTGTGTCTCCCATCTGGAATTCTGCTTAAAGCAAACTTCTCACAATCTGGTAGCCATGACAACGTATGCAGCACTGCAAGCTGGCATACATACTAGCCCTGCCTGTCTTCTTTATGCTGCTGGGCGTGGCCGCCACCGCAATGAACAACTCGCGAGGGGTTTGGGGCCCCAAAACACAACATGCTGCCGATGCTCAAGCACAGCCAACCTGCTTCTGCGTCTGACCTTGCCCACAGTGCGCGTGGCGCCCAGGACCCGTTGCGCTACGACAGGGGAAAAGCGAGCCGGCGCGCCTGCCGCCCTGTAAAAACACCTCTATAAAAACACCCCTGCAGAACCGCCCTTGCAGAGACACCCCTGCATAGTCGCCCCTGCCGAACCATCCCTGCAGAAACACCACTGCAGAACCGACCCCGCAGAAATATTCCTGCAGAATCACCCCTGCCGAATCATCCCTACAGAATCGTCCTTGCAGAAAAAACTCTGCAGAACACCATAGCAGCTTTGCCGCTGCAGAACCACCCTGCAGAAACACTGCTGCACAAGCACCCCTGCTGAACCGCCCTGCAGAACCGCCCCTGCAGAAAAGTCCCAGAAGAGACACTGGTGCAGAAACACCCCTGATGACATGCCTCCGCAGATCCTTCCAACCTGTTGCCACCTGAGCTGGGCAGACCGCCACCTGGCAGCTGCGTTCCGGGTTCAGGTGTGAGCGAGCAAGGCGAAGCTTCCCGGTTCCAGCAACTTCTGCCGGTCGGCCGGCGCGCGTGTAGCCGTACCTGTCCCCGCGCTCCCCCAAAGTCGGCTGTGCCTCTCGTGGATTGACAATTGACTGGCACTTCCCTTGGTGACCGAAACCCAAGGTCGCTGAATTGTATGGAACGTCAACATGTTACAGCGCTGGGGGTGTAGCTTCTCAGCTCACAACGCGCCGCTGTATGCAGCGTCCCGAGAAGTTGGCGACTGAGCCGGCGCGGCCTATGGAGCGTCGAAGAAAACTCAATAGATACCGCAGCCAGCCTCGGCAGACAAAAGCGGCGGCACACGTTCGCAAGCAGGCAGCAAATCCCAGCAAATCCTGCCTTCTTGGAGCGACAGGGCGTCAAACTGGAAAAAAGGAATCGGCGTCCCAAGGCCAGATCACACGTTGATCACCTGCCCAGGCCCCGCCTCCTCGCCTTCCGCGATCTGGCCCCCCACCCCGAGCTGGTCCAGCGCCCCCGGCGGCACGCTCGTCGGCGCCCGCGTCACGTACAGCACCCCCTGCAGCACCGGGATCTTCTCGCCCTCTGCAAACTTCACGCCGGACTTCTCCTCGGCCATGGGTATGAGCTTCTCGGCGAGAACGGTGCGGTCGGGCTCGCCGCGCGGCATCGCGTCCGGCCATGCAGCCGGCCACCACGACGCAACCGACGCCGCCGCCGCCTCGCCGCGCCGCTGCAGTTCAAGGACCTCTGAGCAGTCAAACACCTCTGCGGCTGCCGGTGCCTCCGCGCCCGCGTCGGCCGCCGGGCCGGCGCCTTCCCGATCGCCGCCGCCGCCGCTGCTGCTGCTGCTGGTGCTGCCTCCCAGGACCTGGGCGTTTGTGCGCAGGCGGGATGCGAACGATGCCGCAGTCAGTACCCACGCACTGGCTACTGCTGCAAAGCTTCATTACGAGCCAGTTTAAGATACCCATGGCCCAGCTGAACCCCTCCGGCTGACAACATACCGCAAACCCCTCCAACCTGCCAAAAGGCAAGCGCGCCGCCGCCCCGTCCAGCACCCCCAAACAAACGGGAGCAGCAGCCGCCCCCTCGCGTGTTCCCCGGCCCGCCACAGGACGCCCCCACCCGTATGCTCCCACCTTGGCGACCCCCATTTGGAAGCTCATGGCGGCCTCCCAGCTGTCGTCGCCGGCTGCGACCGCCACCTCAAGACCCTTGGCCAGAACTGCTGAGGCGACGCCCATGCTTTGGAAGCCCATCGCACTGCGGGCCCACAGGCTGCACGCCCGCGGCGCGAGACAACGGGAAGAGGGACGCAGAGGAAGCCGCAGGGGGCGGCGGCGGTCGGCGAGGGGTTTGGCGGCCGCGGGCGCCGGTCGGACGCCGGCATCAGCAGCAGAACAGATGACGTCAGCGCAGGCGGGCGGCCGGCAAAAGTTGCTGCGGGCAGACGCCTGCTGGACGCTTGGAAGGCGGCATTTTGGTGGGACCAAACACAATGGCGTGCCGATAACGCCCCCTTGCCAGACCCCGCATTCGACGTCACGTCCCCCGAGTGCCCGTGGCCCTGCATAGAAGTGCGCGCACCTGTAACCGCTGGCCATGTCTGGCAGAGCCTTGACCATCAGCCTGCGCCACGGGGAGGGATTCGCAGGTCGTGGTGGGAGGGGGGGGCAGGTCCGCGGGTGGGGGTGGCCCTTGGGTGCGAGGGGGGCAGGAGGGTCGCGCCCGCCCGTGTGGGGGTGGGCGGCCTTGGAATGTATTTTGACCCCTCCGATCGCGGGGCGAGGGAGAGATGCAGTGGGCCGCGGCTACGCGGCCCACGCACAAGCAGGTGCCGCCGCAGAGGTGGGCGGGGGCCCCTGGCCTTTCCCAACGCCCCCTTACACACACACAGGCACATACAGACACACACAAAAACAAACGCACACACACAACGCCGATGGTAGTGTCACCTGTGGTCGTGCTGCGCGGCAACCAGGCACTCTGCGTGGCGGTTCTTGTCGTCCATCACGTGGCTGACGGCCCCCATCTGGCCCATCACCAGCTGCCGCACAAAGTGCATCAGCCAGCGGATCTGTTTGGGAGCCGCAAGCGCGCCGCGGGCCGCGTTTGCCGGGGCGGGCTTTGGATGAATGTGCAGGACGCGTGGGCCCTGCCAAAGGCAAGCAGCCTTTTGCGCGGCGGTGTCGCTCGACCTCAACACACGCTCGGTTGAATAACGAGATGCATGCAAGATGAGGACCGCGAGGGCCGCCATGCAGGGCGGACGCTGAGGCGCTGGGCGGCTGGCCCGGGCCCTCGATCTGAGGCTTGCAGGCTGATAGCAGCGCTGCGCCGCACCTGTGCGCAGTGCACTGCGCCGTCCACCCCAAGCTCGTCTATCTGCTTGTCTATCGCCTCAGCGTTTGCCGCGTTGGCAGTTGAGTTGATGGCTGGCGGGGCAGAGGGTGGGGTGGGGGGCACGGAGGGGGGGGGCGTGCGATTAGGCACACGCGAGGTGAGTAGGGCCCGGGAGAAATGGGGACACCGGCGGCATGCATGGGGCGGCCGATAGACGGCGTGGCCGCGGCGTGCTATCGACGCTCGGGCGGTCGCCGCCAAAAATTCAGCTTTGTCGGCTGAGATGCGTGCCGCGCAGTGTCCGCCCTCCTCCTACCCCACTTCTTGAAGACCTCCACCAGAAAACAGGAGCCCAACAACCAAAACACTCCCACCAGTGCCTTCCACTCCGCACTGAGTGCTGAGTCAATCACCAGCGCTGCGCTCGCTGCCGAGCAGGTCAGCTGAGAGCCCCAACCCTCCACTTTGATCCGAAAAACAGAGCTGCAAGAATCGCGCCCGCCCCACTCTCAGATGCATGATGTGCAGGCCACGTCCAGAAACACAAAGTGGATGTTTGCGGGCCCACCCCCCACCTATAGTGGAGAACACGAGAACCGCCTCGTCAGACGGCAGGTCCGCCCCCTGGCGCCGGAAGTTCAGGTACACAAACAGCGCCAGCAGCGCCGCCGCTGCCATGCGCGCGAGCTCGGAAATGGAGTCGCACACCACCTCGGGCGTCACCTTGGTAGGAACGCCTGCGAAGGCAAAAGTGAGGCGCGCGCGTTGATTTGGCGGAACGCAGGATTCGCGCGTCGCAACGCGTACAGGTTGTTGTGGTTGCGTTCTTCTGGCACGTGCGAATGGCGGGGCTTCTGGTGTCTAAAAGCGGCTCTTGATCGGAGGGCTCCGATGGGTGCGTCCAACCAGGCGCGCCGCGCCCCCGCACCGTCATGACCCTTCCCCACTGCCCCGCCCGCCGCGTGCGGTGCGGCGGCATGCGGCCCTGCGGCGGCTCACCGAAGCGCGCAGCGCCGCCGGATTGGGACGGCCCCGCAAACGGCATCACCATGCCGCTGGCCACCAGGGCTCGCTCCATCATATCCCCATGGATGATCTGGGGGGTCGCCGCCACGCCATTAAAGTAGGCCGACAGGTAAGTGATCAGGATCCTGTATATGGGGATCCGATCGTTCGAATCGCGACCGCGACAGGTGAGGGGGCCGAGGGCAGGGCAAAGGCTGGGAATACGCCAGCGGCGGGGGCGCGGGAAAGAGGCGGTGGCGGGGCAGCTGGGGATGGCAGATGGCTTCACGGCCGCCAGTGCCGGATATCCTGCCATGGCCATAGCAGCCCTGGTGAGCCTGGGTTGCATCCATGCGCCACCAGGCTTGACTTGCGGACCCCGTCCCCCGCGGGCCGCCGGGTGCCCACCATGCGTCCTTGCACAGCCCCGAGCTCCCGCCCTTGGCTTCCCAGGTATGCGCGCCCGCACCTGTCCTGATCGACAATCTCCTCCGTCTCGGGGTTGCGCGTCAGCAGGGCGACCTGCACCTTCTTCATCAGGTCGCCAAAGCGCACCAGCGCCGCGGCGCCAAACTTGCGCTCGCCCTCGGGCAGCGTCCGGAGCGCCGCGACGACGTCGTCGAGCACGACGGGCGCGGGGGCATCTGCATGCTCGTTGGAGTCTGCTGGGGTGGTCGCATTATTTGTGGGGGCGTCGGCCGCCATGTTTGGTGACGGCCTCGATGTCAATCTGCGTGTTTCTACGTGAACGCGTGTCAATGTGATCGTAGATTGAATCGGCGGATTTCTCAAATCAAATGCGCTGGTCAGAGAGTCGTTTTGTGCCGCGCGCCTACCTACTCACCCGCAGCAGTCACCAGCAGCTCAAATCCAGTGTCAGCACGAAAACGGTCAAGCAGCGGCAGTTCACGGTGGCAGGCGACACCAACATGTATTGGCTCAAGCCCCGTCTGCCGCTCTGGTGATTTTGTGGTACGAATCCCGGTGGAACGCGTACGGGCAGGGATACCTCACTCGCTTTGTGCACTCTGCTGCTTACCGCACACCTGTTCCTTTGATCCCCGGTGAGGCGGTGACGGCCGACTACGACTCCAAGGTAGTTGAGGTATACTTCTAATGTATGCATCAACAATCAAGGTAGCACTCCGTGTGCGCTCAGCAGCCCCAAGGCTGCACCCTGCGCACGCAGTCTACGTACCTCACATCTAATGGTGGTGGGCATGCTGTTCACTGCCCCATCATCCCAAACCAAGAAACAGGTGAGAGGCGGCGCAAACCCTTCAGTTCGAAAACACAGGCTACCTTGATGGCTGTGCCATGACTGCAGCAACGGGAGAATGCATGCAAAAGCGCGTGCGCCCTCCGCGGCAGCTGCGCACGCACCTGCCACGCGGCAGCTGCATTTTGTTGTGGGGCGTCATCTTGTTGCTGACATGGGAGGTCAGGCCGGAGCTTTGCCATACAGCAGGATCAATAATACGGTAGTTTATTTAACAGACACCTTTGAGCATCCATGCACCGACGCGCCGTCGCCTACCGCGGGGCACGCGGAGGTGCCAGCTGTCACTGGAGACAGCACAGACGGCACGTGTGGCAATCAGCGCTACGCACAAAGCGTGTGGGCGCACCTGAGCATGCACGTGGCAGAAGCTATGATACACCTTGCATCTCTGTGATATGTGTAGTTCTTGTTCTTACCAGGGACGTAGGGAGAGGCTGGCCGGCACCGCGTGCGCACATCACAGGAAGCCTGTGTGGCGTGCGGGGTTGGGGGTCCCTGCAGGTGCGTGCCGTTCCGCCCGCACGGCCCCTAAGGCTGACCTGGCAGCCACCCACGAGAGCCACGGCCAGCTGTCGTGCACCCAGCTGCTATGGTGACCTCCCCACCCCCACCCCCCCTGCCCAAGCACCAGCTTCCCTCTGAGTCTGCTGGAGAGGTGCGTTGGTTGCTGGGCAGGTCCTGTGACAGCTTTCTTTCTGCCCTCGTCTGTGCACACCGCGTGTCACCCGTAGCTTGCACGAGTGGCGATGCGGCTGGCAGTGCGGCCTTCCCTCTCACCAGACAGGCACCACCACCCACCAACAGGCTCCTGGCACAAAGATTGTGGTGTAAAATCTGGATGACATGCCAAGTTGGATGTCAGGGTGGGTGTTGGTATCGCACATGTTCGCCACGTGTGATTTGTCAAGTGACCCCAAGTCCATCAACAGAACAGCCAGCACTCTTGAGGCCGACCATGGTAGCACGTGCTCAGCCTGACGAGAGGTGTGTTGTGCCGTACTGGTATTCGCACTGACAAGTTCACTGGGCTCCCGGAATCGCTTTCCGAGATCTCAGGTTTAGGTGCGTGTCCGCCGGGACAAGGGAACAAGTGACCCGGGATCGCTTTGGATTGGTAAATGCAAGCAAATCTATGAAGGCACTGCAAGGCTGTGACGGCCGCATGCCAGCTCTGCGGTGGACCTGTTTGTGCTGGCCGGCCCCGCTGCCCGGCACTGTGATGCGGGTGTGTCACCACAGGTCCAGGGCACATGGGCCCTTGCCCCCCATTGGAAGCTCCTGGACACCCCCGCAAATCACAATCACGTCGCCGCGGCGCGCCGCCCAGGGGCCCGGACCGGCGCACCTTGCAGCTGACTGTCATGATTGCTCATGGCGCACGCCGCGACCCGCCTGCGGGACAGTGGGCCCGAGGGTGGGCACGGCTGGCGGCCGCGGGCTGGTCAGCCGCGCAGTTGCTGGAATGGGCAGGCCCAGGGTCCTGGCACAAGCGGCTCAAACGCCAGGTGAGTGGACTCGACTCTCGCGCACGTGCCCCCCCCCCCTGTCAGCGGGCCTGGGGCACCATGCTGTTTAGTCACGCCCCGGACCCTCACACGTATCCGAACGCACCGAACGCTCTCACCCTCACTCCCCTCCTGCGTGTGCAGTCGTCATTAAGCCGGCCGACCTGACCGTCAGCAACAGGTACAAGCGCCTGCTAAGCCTGGACGGCGGTGGCCTGCGCGGCCTCGTGTCATGTGAGAACCAGCCGCAGCCGCGGCCTCGGGCTGCTAGGCGTGCCTTCAGCCAGTGCCCGGGCGATAGGGCGGGCAGGCCGCCTGCCCGTGCTACCCCACGGCGGCCAGTCTTGTGGCAGCTGCGGTACTATTCATCGGGCCTGGCGCCGTCCAACGC